TGCTTTGTATGTGGGTGATAGGTTGTGTCTCAGTCAACCTCCTCCATGGTTTTTCCAGGTTGACAAAAATGGCTTCTTTTACCCCTTGCTCAGTTAGTGACCTAAGTTACCGGGGGGTGCTGGTTGTCACTATTTTTGTTCTGGATGGTCACTGTATTGTTGTTTTGACCCTGTTCCAAGTGCGGGTGTTGTTTTGCAGTGTGTGTTTTGCCTGTATCGATAAAAAAGGAGATAAAAACAGTTATTGACCACGAAAAAATCGACAGCCATGCATTTGAGTTGTCTTTCTGCATCGCACTGTACATCGACAATACAAAAACACAACTCAGAGTCTGCAGGTGTTTGGAAGCATGGTGCGACATGCACGGATTTGGGTTACGCAACTATATTGTAATAATTGTTGTTGAGCATCTTCTAATGATAACAGAGTTAAACGTCATTGTTGACTTCCAATGTGTTTCAGTTGTGTGCCATCATGTGGGATGCGCTGTGTGGTTTGGCTTTATAAAATCAGTTTGAGGTCAGTAAGCGCAACCAAAAGTAATACATAAGGCGCACCGTGAAAATTGCTATAGAGAAAATTGTTTCAGTGTTCAGCCTTCAAGAATTTCTTAGACACAGTCTGTTAATTCTGAATTCTGAAAACATTAAACAGGGTTAGATTAAATACAATAATTTTTTTCAAATTTTGTTTTTCATGTAAAGATGCCATTTAACAACACCATATAAGGATCTAAATTAATGCTCTTTATATATTATAGTCTTAAAATACACAATGAAAACCACTAAAAACAAAAAAGGTTGCTACCAAACGATGCTGTTAGTGGGGCGGCTGCTTTTTTCCCCTGAGGGTCTTAATGGTTAAATGGTTGCTGGTTCTTTGAGGTTTCAGTGGCTTTAGTGGGTTATTAATGGTGTTAATGGTCTGAAATGTGATCCCAGGGAGAGAGTCGATCACAGGGGCTCAGACAAAGATCTTCCAGCAAGTTTACTGGAGTAGGAGTGGAAGAAGAGGCTTGAGTGAGTGGGTGAGTGTGTAAGAGAGGGAGTAAGAAAGAATGAGTGTGTCATTATATGTACAGTAAATGTGCATGCTTGTGATAATGTTTTTTAGTAATGGGGACGTTGGAAGGCTTATTTTGAGGTATGGGTTACAACCCAGACTATTGTGTCTTTGTTACATTTTTCACACATCAACTGACTGCCTTTATGTTACAATTACATTTTCAAAGAAAGGAACTAATTATGTCACATCTCACATACAACAACCAGCAGCTTCGAGAAACAGGAGATGTACCAAGGTCCAAGCACAGGGACACAGACAACTAGCTTGAAGCTAGATACATCTGATTTTGTCTGTGGCGTTTGACATGTCCACAGTAAGACTTATTGTATATAAAATCCCAGGATAATGCTCAACAAAATTGTTGTGCGATGACCTATTAAATGGTAAGTGGTACCAAAGTAAGCCCCACGCATCAAACAGTAAACCCAGGATGAGAGCAAACAATCCCAAAGGATATAAACACACACACATGCATGCACGCACACAGAGCTCTCCTAACGATTAGACACATAAATGATGGATGAATGTATCAATATGAGAGTAGCACAGGTTTCTAAGCCAAAAGAGACTGAGACAGAGAAAGAGACAAGATGAGCTCTAAGTGGTTTTGTCTATGAGCCCATTGTTCAGAAGAACTGCTTTAACAAATCTTTGGGGAGAACCAGGCTAAATTTTAATGATTAACCCTTGTGGTCAGGATTTGGTTTTGGTCAATTTAAAAATGTATGAGCTCAAATTAAGCATGCTGTTATGGGTATGGGGCCACAGTGTANNNNGGCGCTCTTCAGTGATCAGCGGTTTACTCGTTTGACCCTTGGTTTGTTCTGTATGGAGTTCCATGTTCTTTCCAGGTGTGTATAGTTTTTTCCAAGCATTCTGGATTCTAACTACAGTCCAAAAACAAACAGTACTAGGCAAAATGTTTACTACAAGCTATCTCGTATTATTAATGCAAGTGTGAGCTGTTGCTTTTCTACATACTGTATGTGGCCCTGTGATCGACTGGGAAACTGTCCAGCTTGCCCCTGCCTGAATACTACGATTGACCCCTGCTCCACAGAAACCCTGAAATAAATTAAGCAGCAATCCGTACAGGCTCGGGATTCAACTTATCTGTATTTCCAAAATAGATTAATTATTTGATTTGTTTTTTTAATGATGCATAAAACTGATCGGTCTTTGCAAAACTAACAGTCTCGTTTTTTACAGAGATATGGAATATTTAACTGAGGGGAAGAGAGAAAAAAACAAACCATAAAAATGTGATGAAAATTCATTTAGGGATTGATCAGTCTGCAGCAAGACAGAATTTGTGTTTTTTAAGATAAAGTGATGCTTGTGCATCAGTTTTTATTTTTAAACAAAATAAATATCCTTGGCATATCTACAGCATACCAAAATAGAGGATATCTGCTTGACAATCACATGTTGCTGTTCAATATAAATTTAATTATTGTGTAAAACAGCAATTCACTGGGGCAGGAAAAATAATATGATGGTTGGCATTATTAATTATTAAATGCCAGAATGTACTGTCAAAATGATTTGATTGGCCTTTTAAAACTAATGGAGTGTCGGCAAAATTAACCTTGCCTTGGCCTTAAAATTAATTAAGGCCAGAAACAATGTTGTAGGGTAATTTGTCTCCAGTACGTTAATGATAATACATTAGTGTAAAAAAATAGATCTGAAACAAATAGTTCTAAATAGTTTAACTTGTGATTAGTGTTGGAGTTATGAATTATAGCAATAAATGCATCTAGACTAAATGTGAAGGAATAGAAAGAAGGTCCACAAAATTGTCTGTGTTTTTACGTTAGATGCTTTTCCTGACACAACCCAACGTGAAACTAGAACCTAACCTAACCTAAAATGTGTGTGTAAAAAAATATATATATATATATAAACTACTAAACTAAACTACTTTAGTAAGGTGGCATGAGGATAAGAGAGTCGTTAGCTTTCACAGAAACACAAACATCCATTCAATGTTCAGAAAGCTCAATGATATTCTCAGTTTAAATACATTTCAAAGATCAATTTTGGGGAATTAAAATGTTAAATCTTTACACACTGCCTAATGTATCATAAAAACGCATTAGGTACAGCTGCTGGTTTTATTGGATTAGCCTTACCATGTACACAAAGCCCAGGTGAACACACTGTTTTTTTCTAGGTTCATTAGTGGAAACACCAAAGGTGACTGCTGTTGTCCTTAGCCAATCACACAGTAGTGTTTACAGCACCATTTACAACTCTGATGATCCAAAATATGAGACGAACAAGGAAAGAATCAATTTTCAACTAGGACTAGGTAGAAAATCCAGAAACATCTGCATAGAACGCAGATATTCTTGAAAGACTACAAAGAGTAGTGGTAAGCTTTACAAAGTTTTCTGGGTGGATGAAGTACTGGGGTATGGGCAGATTTGAGGAACAACAAAGAATATTATCCATCAAAAGACATTGAAAAATGCACTACCACCACTCACATGTGGTTTCAGCTATTTCCGCTAGTGAATTAAAAACAACTTGTGAGGTGTTTCATCACATTACTGTTACCAAAAATGTATGTTTGTTTTAATTCTGTTTGCCACCTACGACACTGCTGTTTGTTAATTTCACAGCTCAGTGTGACATACAAAAAGTCCAAAACTAAAACAATAAATCTGAGGGTTATTTTAAAGGCCTCCTATGAAACAAAGCAGCAAAAGCATCACAGAAAAAAAGGTGAAATGTCAAACCTATTTTTAAACACTTAACATCACTTTTTTTCATCACCATCACAATAATCTTTGATGATTACCGTATTTTCCGCACTACAAGGCACACTTAAAAACCTGTAATTTTCTCCAAAATTGACAGTGCGCCTTATAACCCGATGAGCCTTATGTATTACTTTTGGTTGCGCTTACTGAGCTCAAACCGATTTTATAAAGCCAAACCACACAGCGCATCACACATAATGGCACACAACTGAAGCACATTGGAAGTCAACAATGACGTTTAACTCTGTTATCACAATTAGAAGATGCTCAACAACAATTATTACAATATAGTTGCGTAACCCAAATCCGTGTGCGTCGCGCCGTGCCTCCAAACACCCGCAGACTCTGAGTTGTGTTTTTGTATTGTCGATGTACAGTGCGATGCAGAAAGACAACTCAGACGCATGGCTGTCGATTTTTTTGTGGTCAATAACTCTTTTTATCTCCTTTTTTATCGATACAGGCAAAACACACACTCTCTCTGCAAAACAACGTCCGCACGGAACAGCGTCAAAACAACACAGTGACCATCCAGAACAAAAATAGTGACAACCGCCTGACTCTGGAGGGGCGAACAACAACAACAACAGCACCGTCCTCCTGTGTCCAACTTAGGTCACTACCCATTTCCACAAATCTCCGTCCCTATTGATCTGCGACTCCATGTGCGCCCTTCTTACCGATATTGTCAAAACCCAAGTGAAGCAAACTAATTCAGGACTTGCCTTCATTCCGGGTGGATTAACCAAAGAATTCCAACCGCTACATACTGGTGTTAACAGGGCGTTTAAATTTAAATTGCAAGCTGCATGGAAGCATTGGATGACAGAAGGCGAACACACATTCACCAAAACAGGGAGGCAACGCCGGGCAAGTTACACCACTGTCTGCTAATGGATTGTGCATGTCTGGGCTAATGAATCAGTCGCAAATGTCGAATCATCACTGAACAGCTAATTAACAGCGATGACACTGACTAGGATATTGATATATTCCGCTTAATTGTTTCGCTGACTGTTTTGTTTCGCTTAATGTGCACCCCCGGGTGCGCCTTATGTATGAAAATATTCCCATTCATTGATAGTGCGCCTTTTAATGCAGTGCGCCTTATGGTCTGAAAATTACAGTAAAAAATATATTTTGTGATACAAGTGGACACTGCCAACCTGACAACTTTAGTCTGCATCCCAATGATATCGTTCTCCAGGTCCAGCAGATGCTGGTGATTGTGAATCCCCGTCAGTCTCTTCAGCCTCAGCAGGGCCACACAGAACTGAGCTCCCATCTCCTCCAACTCTCTAGTTCCAATCTGAAGACCCTGGAGAAAACATACAAGAGCACATCAAAGAGATTAAAATACTAATATATTCACCATAAGATGCATATACATTCAAAGGATGATTTCAATGGTCCAACAGCAGTGTACTTCAAATTGGCTGCAGTAGAGTTTTTTACAGCTGCTCTAGGGCCTGGGAATCAAGTCAGTGTACACCTTCAAACGGGAAAATTTTCAGTGCCATAAAGGCCTGACTACTGGAACCCTTTCATGCTGGAAACGTGATATAAATTGCATTCGCACTGGAGGCTACATTCAAATACATGCACTCAGCTACAATTCATTCAGAGCAGTGTGGTCCCAGACTTTAAAGCTTACTGGAACTGTACAGACACACAAGGACACACACATGCACACACAAAAAAAGATGTTCCTCTTTCGTCCAAGAAAAACCACAAATATCCAAACATGGTGGCCTGGCCACAGTTCAGCAGACATTAGTTCCTGGACATCTGGACAAATACTTTGACAAAACAGCAGTGTGGGGAACAGTTCTGAGCCCAAATGCATCATGGAACTACTGCAGGATATGTTCAGAACTGGGACATTACAGCCAGAAAGGAATCGTTTGGGATGGAAAGACAGAGAAAGGATGTCAAAGGTCGGGAAGAGAAAAGAGAAGAGGTTAAACAGTTTCGAGAGACAGAAATGACTGCAGTGCCATCTGCTGGACACTTGGTAATCTCATCCATTCATGAGGGAGTTGTTTACATTTACACCCGTAGTCTTCTTGGACTATAGAAAGAAACCATAGTAACAAAGTTGAAAACATCCATATAAAAAAACTCGATAAGACCCAGAGCCTAAATTAGTCTTTTTTTTGCAGTAAGGTACTACTGCAAAATACTGAGTGCTACTAATCACGCTGTGCTGGTTATGGTTACTTGAACATTTTTTAAAAATGACCAAATTGTGAACTTCTGTGTTCCTGAATAACCAAGTGTATCACCTGCTTAAACTCTACAAAGGGAAATAAAACAAAAAAAGATAATTATAGTAATCAACAATAAACAGGTACTTTATGTGTGCTTTAAAAACCTCTCACCTTATATTTACCCTGGTCACAACCACAGAGTGTGCTCTCCATGGTGTAACTCCGCTGCACTCCTATTTCTCTCCATACAACAACACGGGCGGTTGACTCTTTGGAGCGTTCAACCACAAAACTGCAGCTGGCCATGCTGAAGGCCGGGGCGATCTGAGACAGGATCTTAGGAAGGGCCTTGGAAAACAGACATAAAAATATTTGAGCAGGCAGAATGGTCTTGTCTTTATGATAAGGACAAATATCAGGTTTCAACAAAGACTGTCTTATTTACAGGGCAGGTTTCTGGTAAAGATCAGGAATTACAATTCTAAATGTGACATGATATTTAATACAATTTAAAAAACATTGCAGAATGTCAGGTAAAAGATAAGTAGTCTGACAAAAATATACAAATACTGCGATAATCTTTTGCACTTTGAATAAACATTCTGCATTTAGTCAGCCAATGCCTGCCCAACATGATACATTCTTAACACAGAGTCTGGTAATGTTACAGTAAGTGTCAGTTACAAGGTGTGTGTGTGTGTTCACCCTGTATCCAAGGTCCTCATGTATGTCACTGGTTGTCGCATTGATGTTCGAGTGCCAGACTGTCTCCTTTACACTGCAGCCGTACATAAAGACATTTTTCTTCCTGGAATGACCGTGGTAGTCGCAGGACACCTGTACACACACATTCAAAAGTCTAACACATATGCACATCAGGCCAAATCACACACACACACTGAGGCTGAGCAAACAACAACAGTAACTAAAATATCAATATTAATGCTCTTAAAACAAAATTACATTTCATAATAGACTAGTAATAGTAAGTTTTACTTTTCACTTTGCATAACTGATTATCAATCATACCAGAGGAGCCCTTTGTATGTGTGCGAGGTACTGCAGCAGGCTCTTTGTGTGGTAGATGGTCGGGTGGAGCTCAGGATTGGGGTTCTGCCACTGGCGGTTCAAATCCTCTCCACTCAGAGAACAGCGATGGCTTAAGTACAAAAGATGTAGAACAAGAGAAAAAACTATAACAGGATAAATATTCATAAGAAGTCGCTTGAAACTGATGATGATAAAGCTGCAGCTAGAGTTTTACCATGAAAAACAAAAGCACTTCTGGAACATTTTAACCTACTTTCCATTCACTACTCCATCAGGGTTAAGCATAGGGACTATCTTGAAGATGTAGGCTTCTCTGAGGGCAGCTGCCATAGGGCTTGTGCCCATCAAAAACTCCAGTGTGCCCTTCATTACCCAGCTGGCATTGGTCTCTCCAGGGTGTACCCTGGCCGACAGAAAGATTATTGGACGATTCCCTGCAGAGGGAGGTGAGAGTGAGGACACAACACAGACATGACATAATCATTTACAACAGCAGCAAACTGATGTCAACATAAATACAAACAGTCTCGCAAACATTGCTAAATGAGCAACACTTTTAAATCAATGTCTTTGAGGATATATTGGATTAAAACTGGAGTGGAGTAATACAAGACTCAAGGTCTTTTAATACGTTTGCTTGGGTTTCAATTAATTCATTGCACTATGGTCCAGTCTGCTAGAGAGTGTGGTTGTGACCATTCTGATGATTCTGCAATGTTTCCATGTACACTAACATTACTGTGTTTTATTTTTAGACTCTTTCTATAGGAAACTTATCTATCCAACATGCAGTGAAACCTTCAAAACTCAGGCCCCCTGGTGGCTTTGGGGAGTATTTATAGTCTATGGACACTTTTTAGGAGTTTTTAACTGCTACTATGTCATATTTTGTGATGGTCTTCAAAAATGTAGTAACAGGTCATTAGAGGTTAAAAACAATTTTTGGTGGGTCTTATTGTCCCTTTTCTTGAAAGAGGATTGACATTTTAAGTTGCAACGACTAAATGTAATTCCTTATTTTCCTTAAGGTAAATTATTCTATTGACATTGTGCTGTTAAGATTTCAGATCAAAAAAAAAAGTAGTCCACCTTTACACCAACACTATAAACAGATTTCCCCAGAATTACTTACTGAACTGACAAATGTGATCATTGGAGTTGGACTCAGGCATTGCAGTGATGGTCAGAAGTGGGCAGCTGTTTCCTCCCAGGGTTTCACACAGGATATCTTGCCTCAAATAAATATGAGAAGTCCGCAATTCCTCCAGTTTGGCCAAGTGCATCTGAGGGTTTAGTCATCAAAACAACAAGTTACAATCGCATAATTATTTTCTAAAGCTCATCCATTTCCCTTGACTTAAATCAGCAACCCTAATGCCCTAACTTGTTATTCACTAGTTCAGACTGGGTTGGTTAGTGTCATACAGTGCCTGCCATACAGTACAAGTACACGCTGCTCATCATTCAAAGATCTTTTTTGTTTCTTAGGAATTTAGCAGGAATCAGACTTTGGTGTCTTGTCCCACAATTTTAGGCATTTTGTTCACCAAACAACACAACACAGTGTATACTGCTTCTGCCCAAGTAAACATCAATAACAAATCCAGATATTTCTAATTTTCTTAGTGAACAAGGCCATAGGACTAATTAGTTGTTTTTTTTCCTTTTTCTTTGTTCTTTTGTCGATCCCTCAAAGTTTTGTGAGTTAATTATAAACTTTGTTGCTGTAAAAAAATATTTATGTCAGTTAAAGCTTACAATAATGGTAGAAAAAAGTAACAAAAACATACTCCAGGCAAGTAATTTGTCCATGCTAACCAGTAGGAAATTCGATAGGAGAATCCTTCCAATCCTGAAAATGTCTTTTGTTTCACAAACTTCCTTCAAACAAACTTCCACAAAGATCACTTCTTAACGTGCAGCATCAGTTAGCTGTTCCTGTACAATAACTCAGGCCCTAATAACAACTAGACATGGTTCAGGTGAGAGGCATTGGATGTGTCTGCTTCTCGAGGGAATGTGCAGTGTCCACTGTTTTGTCTCCTGCAAGAAGAGAGCAAACAACTAGGAGTGGATGTGTTCATGCACAAATGCTCTCACTTTAAATGGCTTCCTTCTTTGGCTTGATTCCTCAGACTTTGCTCCAACATGGTGGAAATTGCTGTCAGTGATTTAGATCACAGCTCTTTAAGCATCACTTGTTGGCAGACTTGTGGCAGTTCCTCTGAAGTCATCTATGGCCTTTTCCTACTCACAGAGACCCTCAGGAATATAGGCTTGTTCCACATCCAGAGCTTCATGCCCCCTGGGCTTCACCCCTAAATGCCTTTTGTTGTTATTTTAAACATGTTATATCTAGTTATGTCTACGCATCCAGCCCGATGTGGTGCACCACAAGCAATCTTGGTGTGACAAAAAGCCCAGCCATGCCTTTATCCTCCGATTGAGTTCTTATCATTCTACAGCTAACCCAGCTATAGGCAGAAGCAGCAATAGGTGGATGTAATTCCAGGTAAGGGTTTTCAGTTCCAGCTGGATAACAGCAGCTGTCCGTGAGGGATAGCTGCTTTTGCTGTCCTGTTTATAAGACTCTCCATACAGGATAATTGTGATCGAACCAACTTATTCCTACACCTCAAGTGTGTATGATTTAATAGACTGGATGTCACGTCTACTAGGCTTCACTGAGGGGCTTACTCACCCTTACACTTCTTAGAAGGCAAAGCCGGTAATAAATCATTAAAATAAGCTTGACTGAGAATCTCCATATGCCCTTGTGAAGCAATGATAGGAATGCTAAGAGAAACAACTTTAACGCATGTTACTGCTGCAAGGTACACAAGAAGGTTTGTATTTGTTTTGAACAATAAGGGCCTGTGATGTTATATTAGAGCCGACGGTACAGTACATGCTGAAAAAACATTATGTTTTTTTTATAACAAGCTGCTACACAAGCATATACTTGTGATTTAGAAAACCCAAATGTCACAGCAAATATGTATTAGGTTGTCAAAGAAAGTAAAAAAGTCAAACCACAAAAACACAGGATCATTAGGGGTCACATTGGGGATTTACAGTAAGAGCTGACCGTGCAGAGAGAGAAAAAATTAATCTGTACAATAACCATACTGTAACACTACCTTGAGAGTGGAGTAGGTATAAGGGTAATGATACGCAAAGTAGCAGACATCATCCTTATGGCTGAAGGTTGTGCTGAATGTCAGAGTATAATAAGATTTTCCTTTTTGACCACCAGCTGCTATAGAGCTCCTGGCAAAATGATTCCTAAAGGAGATGAGAGACGTTTCATCACTTGGATGTTGCATCAACACACATTAAACTGAATTATAACTCAATGTACAATGTTTAGTTTCGGCTGACATAAAAGGCCTGATTAGAGGGTTGTATTGTTCATCTTTTTAAATGTAAATTTTAAATGTGTGGATTGTGTGAGAAATGACAAGTCAACAAAATATTCTACAGGCTCACAGTAAAGCTAATCCATTTTTATTTCTCCAGTGTTGCCAACCAGATTAGCTGCTGACAACAGTATTTTACAGCTCTGTTTTATTGCTCTATAAACAAATATTAGCTCGATAATGCAGCTTTAGTTCAGACATTTAGTTTAGCATTCTGTTTGATAGAAGAGACTGTTACCAATGCTATCACTTAGTTCTTCCAAACAATAGCCAATATCATTTGACAAAACCTACTTGTAGTAGCAGAGGTCTGCTCCTGTTCTGACCCAACGAGGTCTTCCACCAATTGCCTCTTGTACAGAATATATTAGCACCTGCATGCCTACACAGACAGACACAAACAAAGGAAAATCCAACAACATTTAACACTGTCCTCTGCTTCCCACTGTTTAAATGTTACAGTCCGTCTTACCATAGTTGAACTGGCTGTTTGACTTTTCACAATTGATGATGTTGAAGCGGTAAGTGGTTCCAACACGCATCCCGCTCACCTCAAAGTAGAACCACTGGTGGTAGTGATTACTGTTGATGTCGGAGTTTAGCACCAGGTCATATTCAAACCTGTGCAAATAGGAACATTTTTCTTAAATCATACATCGGCATTAGTATATAATGCTGGTATGGTGGTAGATAAGAATAATCACGATTAATCGTAATTCATAACAATTTACAATGATTAATTGCAATTAATCTAGATTAGGGTTGTTAAACGATTACAATTTAAATCTGATTAATCATAATTAAATTTAACTGTAATTTATCACAATTTTTATATTGTCCTCAACAATATTAACTGGCATAAAGTCAATCACAATCCTCACTGCGTCTGCCGGGTGTCTCACCTGAAATGTAAATTGCTGCAAATGCACGCTTGGTGTTGAAATGGTATTTTAAGCAGAAACTCTTTCCTGCACTATGTGTAACTAGCAACATAATAAGTGAATGGAAGGTGAAATTGTTGTATATACAGTACCATTGTGCCCAGGTGGTAAAATTGCATTCAAATTTTAATCTCTTTTGACTGCCCTAGTTTTAAGATTTCTATTTACCTATATGTATCCAACTGAAGCTCATGCTTCAACAAATACTCACTTTCTAACTTGCACTGCTTTCCGGAGGTTTCCAGACTCAAACTGAGAGTTGAACTTTAATGATTCACCATCATCTTCAACCACAGGGCAACTGAAACATGAGAAGGACCAAATGATACTTTTGAGAAGTCATTACTCTAATATATCCTTAATATATGGATGATAAATCCAGCTAATAGAGACATCGCTAGCCCTTAGCTTCACTTAGACTGAGTAATGCGTATGTTCACAGACCCAGAGAGAGGAACTTACCAAGACATATCCAGGTCATAAACTACTTTATCCAGGATATCATTAGGGTGAATCAACCTCTCAATATCCTGGAATATCTTACACCTGCAGAATTAGAGCCAAACACAAACATCAAATTAACACAACAGGTGAAAGTGTGTTTTAAAGATAATGCAATAATTGGTAAGGAAGTGCCGTCTGTCAACACCATTAGATTAATTACTAAAAAAATTAAATCTCTCATCTCTCTCGCAGGAACTTCATAGCAAAGCCAGATAAAAAAGAAAGTGTTTGAGATCTAAACATTTTCCAAAGCAATTCATACAAAGCCTTTTAAGCCTGTTAAAGCTAGTTTAATCTCCCAGCAGCTAACTACACATTGTTTAGGAAAGGAGTGCTTATATGTTGTGTTGTCAACAGCTGACAACAGATTGGCTAAATATAAGAACACTTTTGCAAGTGCTAAATGTGCTAATGTCAGAGCTGAAAAAACTTAATATTGGCTCTGGGATTTTGACCTGCACACATACTGTGTTTTCACTGAGTATTGTTGTATGTTATTACTGAGTCTTAAATGTAATGGTAATGCTGTGCAATTATTTTATAGCCAAAACATCGATAACATCTTAAAACCATTGTTAAAGCCTTTTCTGGGTGTAAATTTAAGGCCTTAGAGAGACAACTCAAAATAAAAATTGTCAAACAGGTAAATTGATATCTCAACTAACTGAGCTGTAAAAGTATTTTTTTTAATAATATCAATAACATAATAATATTCCCCACATGTACATCAGAATCTGACTGGGGAAGGGTGCACATTTGGAGTAGATTTTTGTAAAGTTTGATTTGAATGTGAGTTTCTTAACTTGATAAATTAAAATATATTTTTTATTTCACAGAGCAATGCACGCTATTTGTAACTTAAAACAATATTAAACAATTATCAATTGCAGAAACATTAATAAATACATTATGAGGTAGTTACATCTGTACAGTCTTACAGTTGCATCCAGCCCATTGAGGGAAACCGTATTGCTGATGTGGCCCCTGGTAAAAAAAGGGTCTGATTGACTGGAGTGGTCCACAATCTTTGACTTAGATTGTGGCCCACACCAATCAAATCAGCCCATGCTCAGCTGCATGTTCTGTTTATCCTGTTGATGAACTGCACACTCAAAATGTGTTGGTCTGGTTAAAAGCTGTATGCAATGATGAATGTTCGAATTAAGTATATTATTCTTCCTTAATTAATATTTCAAAATGCCTTGTCATGGTAAAAGCTGGCTGACAACAGGCTAAAAAACATTGAAATTCTGTATTCTCTCCTATTTCATACCACGGTCAACAGGTTGTTTCCAATAATTCACATCTTGCAATTTATTAAATGCTAATTGGGTGATTTACAGTTGGAGGAAATGCTGGAACTTTATCTATTACCCACTGCGGGCTGTGTTCGAAAACCAACTGTCCTGTTTTACCTATGTTCTCTTATTTATCCACTACAGTATTTTCATGCACAACAATATCAGTTAACCATGAGCACTCACCTCTGTACACCGTAAACTCTCTCCAGGAGTGGTTCTCGAAATGTTGGGGCTACGTGACCAAAGTAGTCAGGATATGCGACTTCTGCATACTGAGGTACTGAGTGTGTGTCCTTCACCATCTCCACATAAAGGTCAGGATCATGCAGGGAGAGGAGCAGTGCGGTATCAGGCACCTCCAGGAGTGCTCCTTCACCTCCTTCATCCTCTGCACCCTCTGAACCACAGTCTGAACCCCAGTTGCTGCCTCCTCCTCCACTTCCTCCACTTCCTCCCACACGACGTGTCACAATACCCTCTAACAGCAGGGGAGACTGTTTCATCCTTGACGTATTGATGGGAGACCCCAGCTGTTTGCCTCCCTTTGTTTCGTCTTCTGCATTCACAGCACCCGGCTCTTCCAGAGAGAAAGACTCCAAGACGTGGGCTAGTTCCTGTTCTGTCTTCTTCAGACAGGTGAGGGAGGCCAAGGATGTATCTCCACCTAGAGAAGGAATGTTGGCCCACTCTTTTTTGTCTTGGTCCTTAGTCAGGTGGACATTGTCCACTTTGAGAGGTGTTTGAGAGGCAGGAGGATAAGCCTGAGTGTTTTGTCCTTTGGTAGCTTTGCAGTCCCCCTGAGAACTGGTGTTAGGTATGTGCTTTGGGGACGGAGACTGAGCAGTAGGAACAATTATTGCCCGAGAAGATCGGCTGGAGGACAATGATGACGAAAGGGAAGATGTGAAGTATGCCGATGATGAAGATGACACTGACGAAGGTGACAACGTTGTAGTGGTGCTTTTTGAGCTTTCGAAGGTATGCCCCTGTTAGAATTACGATATTTCAAACAAACATTGTTCTGGACAATAACCATATTAAATATATCAAGACATTTATATATAGTGTGTATATAGGTGTATATAGTGTGAGTCATATTTAGCCTACATTCATCTTGTGTTAGAAAATTATTACAGACCTGAAAGTCTTCATTTAACTCCATGAAGAATCTCTCATAGACTCTCAACTCTTCAAACGGACGACTAGGAGACTTCTTAGGGTGAAGTTTGTTTATGTCTGTCTCTATGTCATCGTTCTGAATAACAAGACATAAGGAAAAAACACATGTCTAAGAACGGTACTGTAAACAGCTACTGTATAGTAGGATTGCTGATCTTGTGGCGTTGTAACGTTATGACTGCCCTCTGGTGGACTATACCTAAACTGTATTTTTAACTAGATGACAGAAATGCTGCCCATGCATGACACAATCAATAAGTATTTTACGCAAAATATTGAAAAATTATAAGTAAATTATTTACCCAGTGACCATAGTTAATATTCAGTGGAGTTTCCCCAATATATTGTAAAGCACAGTATATTATACTATATAATTCTTATGTGAAGGTGATTAGTAGGTTAATGACAAATCATCTTTATAACACCACATTCATGTAGAAACAAGACACTGTGTGTGTGTGTGTGTGTGTGTGTGTGTTCCATCATTACTGTTGCATGATGATTCTTCTCGTCCTCATCATTCTCACTGTCATTCTCTGTGTCTGCCTCAGTCTCCTCGTTATCATCACTCACATCCACAACATCATCCACTGGGAACAAACAGAAAAAGTCAAATTATTGGACGATTGTATTTAACATAGATTTCCTTAATAAATTCCACTTTTTGCTCATTGTGCAGTATTTGTCAAAAATGAGTGATGTGTAAGATCTGATTAGGTCTATCAGAGGACAAGTCTATCAGATCTAAATCTGATAGACTTGAAAATCTGATCTATCCATTTCAAGGAGCCCATTTTAACAAAAACTACAACCAAAAAAATATGTGTTTGAGGGGAGAACTTTAGGTAAGTCACAAGTTAGTGTGAGTGTCAGTTGGCAGTGTACAATTCTTGCTGGGAGTTGAAACGTGCAGTGTTGAGTCTGAGAATATTACAATTTTTAGACTCTTAAAAATTGTTACTGTACTTACCCTAAGTAAACCTAGAGTATAAAATTAAGTAATCATTTTATATTAAGATTTTTCTTTAGAAAACAGACTTTTAAAACCTGGCTTAGAGTTCAGACAAAGAAAATCTCTTAACAGACTGTGGACTCATGATTAGATGAGAGTGTTACATGTATTTACACTCAGCAGTTACTTCTATAGTTAAGACAATCACAAGGGATTAACTACAAGTGAATGAATAATGCCCCGCTACAATTTAACTTAGCTGTGGTAAACACCTATTTCCAAAAGAAAGAGGAACACAGGGTAATTTACAAGAGTGGAGTCAGGTCTACACAGATAGATTATATTCTATGTAGAAGAGGTAATCTGAGGGAGATTAATGACTGTAATGTGGTGACAGGTGAGAGTGTAGCCAAACAACATTGGATGGTAGTGTGCAAAATGACGATGGAGGTGACAAAAAGGAAGAGAGTGAGGACAGAACAGAAGAACAAGTGGTGGGAACTAAGGAAAGAGACATGTTGTGAAGACTTCAGGAAGGAAGTAAGGGCAGTTCTGGGTAGTGTTGAGGAATTCCCAGATGATTGGGAGACTACAGCTGCAGTGATTAGGGAGACAGGTAGGAAGGTGCTAGGTATGTCCTCTGGGCAGAGAAAGGAGAACAAAGAGACCTGGTGGTGGAATGATGAGATCCAGGAGAGTGTGCAGAGAAAGAGATTAGCGAAGAAAAGATGGGACAGTGACAGAACAGAAGAGAACAGACTGGAGTACAAAGGGAGGACAAGGGAGGTGAAGAGGGAAGTGGCCAAGGCCAAACAAAAGGCATGTGAGGAGTTGTATGAGAGTTTGGAAACAAAGGAAGGAGAAAAGGAG